AATATATACATACAAAAAAATCATACACAAGCACGTCAAGTGCATTTAAAGAAGGCCATGTGCTGATAGGATGTGGGTGAATAAATTCTGAAGAAAAAAAAAGTTGTGTGCAAAGTATACATATTTTTATTTTTTAAAAATTCAAAAACATCCAAATGCACATGTGAACCAAATTGTTATTGTCTTTTTCTTTTGACATTTTTGCTTGCACCTCCACGTGCCCTGTTATTTTTCTTGTTTTTCAGTTTATTTTTTATTATTTTTCCTCCTTAATTTTCAAATTTAATTTTAAAAACAACGAACTATTAGTTGATAATAAATAATAGTTAAAAATGTGTGACGTGAATTTTTTTTTATTGGTAAATATTTAATAATAATGAAGTAAAATTAAAATAATAGTATTTCTTTAAATAAAAAAAATTGTTTAAATTACAACTGTTATAGAATATTTTTAACTCACAATACCCAAAAAAAAATCATATTTAATCTAGCCAAACAGGTTTTAAATTAAATGTAAATTAAGTTAGATATTAGTTAGGCCCCGAGGCATGTGATTTTGGTACCAACTCCAACATGCATGTTTGGTTAGGGTTAATTCAAAAGCCAACATTGCATTTAATCAAAGATTTGTTCTCTAAATTGTAGTACATATATTTAAGTCTTTGGTTTCATGCGTTTTGGATATATATATCAAATTGATGTGTCACGAATTGGCGTCTTGCTCACAAATTGGCTTCAAATTCAATGATTAATTAGAGTACACTATTATCACATTAAATCCCACAATATGATAATTACAGTACACTAATTATCAAATTTAATCACGTGTGTCTAGAAAACTGTACGTAATTTAAATTATTTTACTTAAGGTATTATTGATGTTAAACTTCTTAGACACATCACCATAAGAACTTCCATATATAGCAATTGTTTTAATCAAGCAAATTATTTCTTTTTTTTTTTGTACAATGAACCTTCCGGTTTCCGAATCCCCGAGGGAACCGACTAATTCGGAATCGAGCAACAAACCCTTGGCCAATATGAATAATTCTATTAACATACCATAATTTGTACGTATTATTATTTATGTATAGCGTTTTTTGAAAATTAAAAGGCCAGTAAAAAATGGTCATCTACGATTGCTCTTTAATTATATACACACATATTGCTCTTCACAAATGTCATATACTTAATTTTGATCATATTTTACTATAAAATGTCATACTCAATCATGTTCATATTCTTTTTATATAATATGGCATTTTATAATAAAGCTATACATTTTTCTAAATATAGTACATGGGCTTAATCACAAAATTAAGTATATGACATTTTTTTAATCACTAATTAAAGTTAACTTTTTTTTAAGTACTAATGTTAACTTTGACCTTTAAAGGTTGACAATTAGTTTATTTGATTAATATTTAATTAGATCCGATGACTTCCGTATAAGCTTTGACTTTTGGAGTATACGTACTTGGGGATCCAAGCTCACATGGAAATATGCGACGATTTATAGTTTTATCACTCTTATTATATTTCTGACTCAGACGAACACATATATCTATATATTAATTCACAAATACAATTAATTTAATCATTACAGTTTACAGTTTGCTTAGGGCTTAGAGTTGGGCTTGAATTATGGACTTATATGTCTTCCCATGTAATTTAATCTTTGAGTTTTATTGCAATAAACATTGATTCTTTGATAGTTAATTGCAATGAACATCATTTATTATTATTATTATTATTATTATTATTATTATTATGGAAAATGACAAAGAAGAACAAATGCAAATTAAGATGAAGAGCTTCACTTAAGATATGGATAGGGTTGTTATTTGAGTCAAGCTGAGCAAAGTGTACACTTTGTATTCGAGTTTGTACTCGTTTAATAAATGAGTCAAACGCTCAATTCTACACTATTCATTTAACAAACCCAGATTCGTAAACAAGCTTTTCTCGAACGAGATTTCTGTGCTTAATTTGAATATGCTAGACTCCAATGATCGTTCAAAACCTATAAAAACAAAAACGATTGAGTTGTTCGTGAACAAACTCGAGTTGACTCGTTCAACGTACTAACTCGATTAGTTCTTTGAGAGCAACTCATTTAGGCGAACGAACGAGTCGAGCTGGAGTTTTTCATGAGTAGTAGTGCTCGCAAACAACTCGACTCAAATAACAAATACAGATACGGATAAGTTGACCAATGTGTTGCCCTAGTCAGCAATGAACTATAATCACTATTTTCAAATAGTTATTTTGTGCAATCAATTGAATATATCAACAAATAATTTTAGTTTTTTTTTTACTCAAGTAATGAAGACCATTAAAAAAATGATTTTATAGTTCCTTCTTGAACAAATTTTATTGTTATGCTCAAATTAATGGCAAACGGTTTTCTAGCATCTAAGCAAAGGATCGTACTTTTCGCTCCAAATGTTTCCGTACCTCTTCTTTAGCTTGCAACAATAGCTAATTTTCTCAATTAATTCTGCTTGGTCGGTGGTAAAAAACTTTACAAACATTAAAAATATTGCTAGCGTATAATGTTGGATTACACTTTACAGTGAGTTGACTATCAGGAGATATTTTGGATTTACCGAGCAGTAACTTTTTATGTTAGATAATTGATAGATATAAAATGTTCGAGCTTGAATCAATTTTACAAAACTCCACCAGTTGAGGAAAAGTTGTAATGAATTGCTAAATAGCATTAAATCATTAAAAAAAACATTCATTGCCGGCCATTTAACTTGACTTGGTTATTATTAGTTGTAAAATAAGTTCAGTCATCTTAAAATATTTCGTGGTAATTTTTTTTGTTTAATGAATTGCTTTTATATGAGTATCTATATATAAATAATTATTGGCAAGCTTCAATAAATTTTATTGAGCCAACAATTAATAAAAATAGGACTTCATTTAATAAAAATCTTTGTGACTGCACTTAAATGACAGTTACACAAATAAAAATTTATTATTATTAATTTTTTATTCTGTACTATCTTTACAAGATTTTAAATTTTTTGAATATACTTTTACAGCTAATATTCCTATTTTATATTATGGTTATACAATAACAAAAAAATAAATAAATAAATAAATAAACTGATTTATGTGGCAGTTAAATAATTTTTATACATTTACATTAGTCAAAATTTTAAAATATAATACACACTTTATCTAATTTAAATTTAAAATATCATATACATGTGGGCATTATCGAATACTAGTTTGCGATATATTTACAAATGTCATTATGTTTAAATCTCATTTTTGACAACTAATCTTTTGGTGATCATTAACCCACAAATACACATCCCCACAACTTAATGCCAGTGTCTTATTTCCGAATTATCAACTAAATAAAATGGTAATATTGTCTAAGTCTAACGTTTAGACAATCATACTTTTCTAACATATATGCTTATTTCATACATTAAAAAATAACTTAAATAAAAGTATGGTATTTTACGTTATAATTAAGTCTACAATTTTGTTTAAAAAGTATGACGAGCCAATTTATTTAACTATTAAGTTGACCGACCGTATAATTTGTTGACCTAATAAATTTAATTTAACTAAAAAGGATGACCACAGAGACCATATTATTTCATTTTATTTTATTTATTTGCATCAAAGTGTAGTAGAAGTGATACACAAATAATCCTGTATACATGTATTGACTAAAAAAAAATCTTCCATTTATTTTGTCAGATGGAATAACGAGAAAATGCATTTCATAAATTAAATTTTAAATGAATTCAGAGAAAATATGACTTGCATGCCAAATTGGCACATTTCATGTGTCAGAGATCCATGTGGTGGGATCCTTTTTATTAAATGCATCTGGTTTTACAGTTTTTTTTTCTGGCCATCAGATATAGATGTGGGCTATTCAAAGAAACCATTTTCTTTATTTTTCTTAACTAAAAAAAAAACAAAAATTCAAACATTTCATCAAACAAATCATTTGCTACTAATATTAATTTAAACACAACATCAACAAGAATCATCCCACCTTTAATTCCATGTAATGCTAGATTATGATTTCCTTATTTGATTTCTATAATTGGACATGTTATTTTCAACTAAGTCGCAACTCAAGAACTTAAAAAAATCTCGTATGAAAATCCGAACAATGTTAAACTCGAACCAAGAACTTAAAAAAATCTCGTATGAAAATCCGAATAATGTTAAATTCAACCCTACCGATGACTACTCGATTTTTCCCTAATCTTCTTCTGACATGTTCCAATTGACCAATCAAATC